TATTTATATCGTTTCATAATGTGATATTCCATTAATTTGGAAAAACATAAAACAAAACAATATAAAAACCAAACTACACAGATTGGTCTTATTTATATTGATATTATAATGATAACAATTTGCATTGTTGTCTTTATGGTGTTAAATATGAAAAGACTTTTATTGTGTTGAAATAAATATATTAATATACCTCAAAATAGTATATTAGTAAAATATTTATAAACAAAATATTTTATTATATATTATTGTGTGGTATATTTATTTTATTTCAAATTTTTTTATGAAATTGTTATGTTTTTTAGATAGAAGTTTAAGTTTTTAATCTTCTTCTAAACGTCCCCCAAGCAAAAGAAGACGACTTATCCGTCTTTAAAAGAAATTTTTGCTAATCAATATTGGAATACTACGAATGTGTTGTGAGAATATGTTAAAGTGTTTCAATATTGAGGGTCCATGGGAGTTAAGCCCTGCAAAAATTTTTTATTTTTTTTGACTTAGTAAAATAAGTAAAAGGGGGGCTCCCCCCTGTTGCTCGGCATCCAAAAAAGGGACCGCCGCGTTAGCGGCGAAAAATTTTTTGGGTTTTTTTGGCTGAATGGAGGGTATTGTTTCTGTGAGGGGACTTTACCATTTCATATGGCAGAAAAAATGAATGTGAAAGACCAATACACTTCGGTTGTATATAAACTGAATGTGTTGGTCTCATTTCATTTGGAGTGAAAACAGCAAAGCCAACTTATAGAGAGATGTGTGTTTCTTTCGCATATACATAAGTTGGCTGTTTTCATTCAAACGAAAAGAACCAAAGTGTACACTATGTTGATGCTATGGGGAAGGAAAGACTTAGGTGTTTTTTTCTTCAAAGTCAATATAGAGAACTTTGGTTCTATTTTTTTATACAAGGCTTTATTAACATTAATTAATGAAAATGATAGAATAATGGCAAAAACATGGTCAATATTACATAGCGAATGGCCTCAGCACAATATATTTCCTCCCGAAAGATTGGATTGACCATTTTCCCTAATGGGGAAGATGGTCGGCGGTAGTAATGGCTACTGCCAAATGGTCTCCAACTGCCTAGTCATCGATATAGTGACTTATTCATATCAATCCATAACATTCCTACTGTCCCTATTTTCAAAATGCCAAATAAACTAAGTATTTGGAGATAGGTGCACAAAATACTGAATAACTTTTGAATGGCTACACGGCGGGAGCTGTGCATAGTCTCAAAATGTTGCTTAGAATGTCGACATTAAGAAAATGTCTTACATCAATCCATACACGAGATTCCTACTGTACCTATTTTTCCTACAAGTGAAATAAGAATTCACCGTAAATTACCCAAAGTCTATTGAAGAACATTGTTTCTTCAATAGACAATTCTTCTCAAATTGTATTTGAGAAGATCAACCAAAATTGAATTAATTTTGAATTTTTTTCCTTCATTCAGTAATATGAACTTGGGAAAAAAAAATTATAAAAAATCAGGAAATCGACAAAAATATTCCGAAATGGCTCAAATAATATGTATTTCATATAACTATTTGATACCAATGATATTAATTCATTTATTTCGATTTTCAATTTTTTGTGATTTTTTCCACCATTATAATATCATTGAAAAATTGAATAAAAATTCATAAACAATTCAAATTTGCTCGTAAATTACCCAAAAATGGCTTAAATAATAGCTATTCCATGTTGCTATGTTAAGCCAAAAAAATTTCCATCATATCATTAAAACATGATTTTTTGGAATTTTTTTCCCAATTTTTTCCAAAAATATTAAAATATTAAAAAAATCGAAAAATATTCATAAAAAAATCAATTTTTTATTATTTTTTTAATCGAAAAATATTCATAAAAAAATCCTACATGCACGTAAATTACCCATTTATGCCTTAAAAGATGTCTAATTATTACTACTATTAACCAAAAATAAAATATCATTGATATTTTCAACGCTGATTTTTTTATGAATATTTTTCCATTTTTTATTATTTTCCAAAAAATGGAAAAAAATTCACCAAAAATTCAAAACTCATCGTAAATTACCCGTTGATGGCATAAAATATTGCTTTTACATTGGGCTATTTTATGCCATTCGAATTTCATCAAATTTCCATGTTTTAAATTTTTTATGAATTTTTTTCGAATATTTTTCATGTATAAATATTAATAAAAAATTCATAAAATATTCAACTTGGTCAAATTTGATGATTTTCCTCTATAAATCAATGTAAAATGACTATCTACATTATCCCTGTCAATTTCATGAAAATCCAATCATAATTGAATATTTTAGAAATAAAATAAATTTCTAAATTTACCCATTTTCGTTAAAAATTGCTTTATTTTCGACGAAAAAAATTAAATTTTTTTATTTTTGGAGAAAAAAATTTTATTCATTTAAAATAAGTTACCCATTATTCCAACTAAAATGAATAAAAAATCTTTTTCCAAAAATTCCATTTCGTTAATTTTTTATTAAGGTTTTTCTTCAAAAATCATCCCTCTTTCACATTTTAATGTGCCGCACTATGAAACTATCTATAGGTATGATGGCTGTCATGAAAATGTGGTCACATACCGTAGTCATCACAACTCATTGAAACATTAAGAACGATGACTGAAATCACCATTAGAGTGGTTGAAAGTGGTTTGTTCATGTTATACGATGAGTTTTGCGATGAATTAACGCTTCGAGTGGGTAGCTAGTAATAGTTGAATGCGATTGCTGTGGTTGGTAGTATTCATTCACTATAAGCGGGTACGATTGTGCAGTGCGTACAATTGTCTTTATTCATGGTTATCTTCCTACTATTACAAGCATGTTTCATTAAGTTGAGACGTTGACTGTTTGAATAGTAGGGAGCGAGTTTCTTTGCATCGTACGATGTGAGGAGTCTCGTTAAACAAATGTGTGATTTTTAAAAATGTTTATCCAAATGGTTAAACGAAAATATGAAATTCTTAATTTCATATCAATATCAAGTATAGTAAGTTGAAAAACCTACTATGCTGCGATGTTAAAAGTAATTTGAAATAAATTGCTAAAAATATTGAGAAAAATACCTCCAATATACTTTTTGAACAAATTACGCGAAAACGATGTCATTCAATATTTGGTGACTCGTTTCGTTGATTTTTCATTAAGTTGTCGATGGAAAAACATACAATAAAACATTATTCTGGTTGATCCTGCCAGTAGTTATATGCTTGTCTCAAAGATTAAGCCATGCATGTCTAAGTACACACGAATTAACAGTGAAACCGCAAAAGGCTCATTATATCAGTTATGGTTCCTTAGATCGTTAACAGTTACTTGGATAACTGTGGTAATTCTAGAGCTAATACATGCATTATAAACACGGACCTTTGGGACGTGTGCTTTTATTAGGCTAAAACCAAGCGATCTTTGATCGTTTATATGGTTGAACTCTAGATAACTTGCAGATCGTATGGTCTCGTACCGACGACAGATCTTTCAAATGTCTGCCCTATCAACTTTTGATGGTAGTATCTAGGACTACCATGGTTGCAACGGGTAACGGGGAATCAGGGTTCGATTCCGGAGAGGGAGCCTGAGAAACGGCTACCACATCTAAGGAAGGCAGCAGGCGCGTAAATTACCCACTCCCAGCTCGGGGAGGTAGTGACGAAAAATAACAATACAGGACTCATATTAGAGGCCCTGTAACAAGGACCTATTGGAGGGCAAGTCTGGTGCCAGCAGCCGCGGTAACTCCAGCTCCAATAGCGTATATTAAAGTTGTTGCGGTTAAAACGTTCGTAGTTGAACTTGTGCTTCATACGGGTAGTACAACTATAATTGTAGTTTGTACTATACCTTATGTATGTAAGCGTATTACCGGTGGAGTTCTTACATGCATAGGTACTTGTATTTATGTATGTTCCTCCTATTTAAACCTGCTTCAGTGCTCTTCATCGAGTGTTGTTGTGGGCCGGTACAATTACTTTGAACAAATTAGAGTGCTTAAAGCAGGCTCCAAATGCCTGAATATTTTGTGCATGGAATAATGAAATAAGACCTCTGTTCTACTTTCATTGGTTTTTAGATCAAGAGGTAATGATTAATAGAAGCAGTTTGGGGGCATTAGTATTACGACGCGAGAGGTGAAATTCTTGGACCGTCGTAAGACTAACTTAAGCGAAAGCATTTGCCAAATTGCAAAGCTGAAACTTAAAGGAATTGACGGAAGGGCACCACCAGGAGTGGAGCCTGCGGCTTAATTTGACTCAACACGGGAAAACTTACCAGGTCCGAACATAAGTGTGTAAGACAGATTGATAGCTCTTTCTCGAATCTATGGGTGGTGGTGCATGGCCGTTCTTAGTTCGTGGAGTGATTTGTCTGGTTAATTCCGATAACGAACGAGACTCAAATATATTAAATAGATGCTTTCAGGATTATGGTGTTGAAGCTTTTATAGCCTTCATTCGCGACCGCAGTAAAATGTGTTAGCGTTTGAATGTGTTTGTAAAAGTGGAGCCGTACCTGTTGGTTTGTCCCATTATAAGGACACTAGCTTCTTAAATGGACAAATTGCGTCTAGCAATAATGAGATTGAGCAATAACAGGTCTGTGATGCCCTTAGATGTCCTGGGCTGCACGCGCGCTACAATGAAAGTATCAACGTGTATTTCCTAGACCGAGAGGTCCGGGTAAACCGCTGAACCACTTTCATGCTTGGGATTGTGAACTGAAACTGTTCACATGAACTTGGAATTCCCAGTAAGTGTGAGTCATTAACTCGCATTGATTACGTCCCTGCCCTTTGTACACACCGCCCGTCGCTACTACCGATTGAATTATTTAGTGAGGTCTCCGGACGTGATCACTGTAACGCCTCGTGTGTTACGGATGTTTCGCAAAAGTTGACCGAACTTGATTATTTAGAGGAAGTAAAAGTCGTAACAAGGTTTCCGTAGGTGAACCTGCGGAAGGATCATTAACGTGTTCCAACCGTATA